CTGCAGTTGGATGATATTGGAAAATGCACAATATGTCAAACAGCAATGACATTGCTTAATGTGATGTATTGGAACAACTTCACAACACCAACACAGACTGGCACTGAACCATTTCTCTGCACAGCAAGAATAAGATAAATATCACATGTAGTACAAGATTGGAGGCATATGAGATATTGACAGCTCAACACACAAACATCAGGACATGTGTTGCACCAATTTCCAATCAAATTCTGTCTCCGCAGCTTATTATTGCTGTTATTTTATTGCCATCAGAGGCCTTACTGTCAACAGGAGGGTGGTGATTAAGCACAGAAAGAAGAAGAGACAGGAAGACAGGGAAGAAAACAGAAGACATCTGCCTCATTAGAAAGAAGGAAGATTAGTGAGACGTTAAAAAGAAACAGGCGGAGAAGGTTTTTTGTGCTGTTACAAAAGTGTGCTTAATGGCTTTTGGCATTGCTACAAGGATGGAACAACTTGGAAACTAGGCCATGACAGCCATAAGACCGAGGAAACAAAACAGTAAAGTCATACCGAAAACAAGAATTTAAAGTGCCACGGTGCATTTGAAGAAAAGAAAATCAGCTGCACAACCCTGCAGAGCACAGTGATACAGGCCTATTTTATCTTCAGAGGCCTTCCATGTTGTTGCCTCAGAAATACATAAAATTTAAAGTCCAGCTTGAGCGTTGTCCTCTCCAGCCCCTTAAAAACAGCTTGCAGCCACCCCCCTCTGTCCCTCTCTCATATTTCCTGGTCCAATAAATTGGCATCCTTGTCTACCCCCTCTATGTGATGGCAGCAATTGACATTTTGCTTTCCTTGTTCTTGCTCCCGGCGTACAGAAGCAACAATGCAAGATAAAAGAGGAGAGGGCATATGTAAGTTGGAGGCCAAATGAAGTGAAACAAAGAGAGGAAAGAGCAAGAGATAAAACAGTGAACAGTGTGTGGAGAGATGGCAACAAAGGAAAAAAGAGAGAATAGAGAAAGAGAGATATCACAAAAACAGAGGAGTGGAGTCAACCTGACACCACATATAAAGGGTTGCTCCATGTATTTTTAAAATCCAATTATGAGAGAGAGAGAGAAATGCATTGCAGGCAGGCTGGGAAACAATTTTCCCAGCACACAACCTGTTTTGTTTGTCTTTCTTTTTCTCACTATTTCTCTCTCTCTCTCTCTCTCTCTGTATCTCTCTCTCTCTCACACACGCACACACACATACACGCAGTTCCACCTAGACAAGATGCCACTCAGCCAGCTGTCTGCACCTAATTGCTTGCTGAGGTCAGCGGTTTTCCACTCGGTCATTACCGTGTGGCGTCTTGATTTCTGCTTTCCCTAACAGAATGTGACTGTTAGTATTTGTAAGAGACTGCCTTTTGTTCGCCCCGGAAGCTCGCGCCGAAGGAATTATCTACATCTACTCTCACTTTTCATAAGATGATGCACCTCAGTGATTTCAAATATATTAGGAAGAATGCCCAGAATATGCAGTTCTTTTTGGGATGAGGTGTGAATTTATTAACAAACTACAAGCTTAAAAAAAAAACACTCAAATGTACAGTCAGGTATATCTTGTGTAACATATAATAATAATATTATAATATATAATAATTTGTATTGATCTAATGTAAAGCAACAAACTACTTATTTTTCTAGTATCAGGCAATCTCTTCCTCCATGTATCTAACAATTCAGAGGTTTAGGGCAGGTCAATGACATACCTATGCACCTCTCTCTCTCTCTCTCT